CCCACGGCAGCCTGTTATTGGCTGTCGCATAACGTCAACTGCTAACCAAAACAACTCTTTTCACGCTAGCGGCGTGAAAATCACGCTCGCATCTTGTGAACTCTGAATCCATCTTAACAGTTTTAGAGTTATTCAAACGCGTCGTGCAGCTTTTCTATGTTTTACTATGCGCACGCGTCGTGTAGAATGTTGCAATTACGTTATTCGAACGCACTTTTTCCCTGATCACACCTCGACTCGAACCCGAACCTCTTAAACAAACTTTGGAGGCCAGTCTTCTTGAATCAGCCTCTTCGTCTATCAACCCCTCTTGTTCCACCGGGCGTTTGAATTTCGCGCGTGCACATAACATTAACTCTGTGATGCTCACGCTTATCCGCGTGCCAATTATATTTTTGCCATTTATGGGCACGACGCGTGTCCATAATATCGGTCTTAATAAAATATTTTCACCATTCCGACTAAAAATTAAAATTTAGAAATATAGAAAAGCCGTTAAGGCGTTAGCGTTAGAATTTTTCATTTTAATGTTACAATTTGCACATGCAGTCCGTGAAGTTCGGAAAGACGGCAACCCGCGCTGAGGTTCATGTAATGCACCAAACCGATCGAAGAGAAATCGCGATGGACTTGCCACCGTGTCCGTCCCCTGCTTTGCCAGCAGAGTGCACCGCACCACGACGTCGTCTACCTCACATTGAGAACGGTGGAGTACAGCGAGTAAGACCGTCGCATGATCTGCGAGAAGAGAGGGTTAAGTAAGTCGCGGGTCTATGCGTTTGGTATACAATGCAGCGAGAAAGCAGTTCCAATCAGAACACAAAATTATTTTTCAACAAATTTTGAGCTGTGTTAGTAATAAATGTGTTCAGCTAAACAAAATGAGCAAGAATCCCATGAGTTTTTAATTGCTTGATGCTGATGTCGGGACTTGAACTGCGTGTATTGTTGTTAATTTAAACAAATTTTTTTGTTCCATTACGAAACGTTTTTCTGTGCACACTACTTAGCCCGTAATCGTTCATGGTATTCGTTTCTCACGTCCTGGAACAGTTGTAGCGTAAGGTTGGTGAGGCGGCCCGCTGTGAGGAACAGGGGTCTCTGCGCGCGTAGGACGATCATGTGTTGGATGCGTCCCAGCCGCGTATCCTTCCCGGACAGCGACGGGTGGAAGGACGAGTAAGTCGCCGAGGACAGCCGCGTCGACTAAGGGCGCGGGTTAAGTGAGGTCAATTGTCAAATGTATATGACAATTCTTAAGCAGTAGAGAAATGTTACCTTTCTTACCGCCTTAGCCACGAGGTCCCCGGAATAGCAGAAGGTGAACAGCTGAGTAAATGTAAACATCACGTAGACGACGCTGAAGGCGACGTCCTGCGGTAGCACCTCCTGCGTCTGTGGAGCCCAGGCAAAACATTGAATGTAACGTAGCAAGTGCCAGGCGGGGTGGGATGGGACAACTCACCTTGTTCAGCATGCGAAAGAGCGGAGTGCCCAGGCCGAAGAGGACGTAGAACATCTGGCACAGGGCAACGGTGCAAAACATGGACTCGGAAGCTCTGTGCAGCCTGCAAGAACGAAGAGGTAGAGCTGTGCGAACAGGGGCTTTTCAGTTCAATTCAAATCAAAACGTATAAAAATTTCTTTGACCGAATCTTTTGGGACACATAAATCTAACTATTTTATTTGTCTTTCTGGAAAATATGCAAGTTAAAAAAGTAATATCAAATTTCAGCCGGCATTTGATAAGCTTCTAACACTTCAGAATTCTGTGACGGACTATGCCTGACTTAGAAGAATCTCGATCCTTTCGTGACCGAGTCGTTACCGCAGTGTGTCGCCGAATTAAATCGAATCAGAGCAGATTCGATTCGATTTTGTACCATTCGCACAATACTTATAAGGAGTATACACCGGCTGGGGTGCTCCCCGTTCCCCTCACCTGATGATCTGCTGGTGGTAGATCGCGCACAGGCGGAGGCGCTCCCCCTCCTCGGCGCCGTCCTGGAGGCCAAGCTCGGCTGCGTCCTGGCGCACTGCCTGTTGCAGCATCAGGGTCAGCACGTCGCACTTGCAGGCCATGTGGTGGCTCAGCGTTAAGATCAGTCCGTCAAAGAGACCTGCAAGGCCCCGGCCGCCCCGGCGCAGGGATGTACAGTTGTACCAACCAACCCCAAATTGTTCCCAAATCGTTTCCCTTTGGGCTTGACTGATACTCATGTTCTTGGTTCAAAGCTGAATTGGGCCTGAATAAAGCGTTCCGGTAAAGCTGAAATGCAGAAGAATGGGGGGGACAAGAAAACGGAAGTCACCATAGTGAAGCATGGCGATTTCCGTTTTCTTCTTCCCCGCAATCTTTTGCATTTCAGCTGTTCCGAAATGCTTTATTGTGCGCAAATATGTACTTTTCAAGCACACGCTTTTCTGGGTACGGCAAACCAGTTGCGCTCCACGCACCTACCTACCTATCGCCACGGGGAAGGTGTACAATGAAGTCGTGGCCAGGACCACCATGGTGATGTACAGCGGTCTCGTCTCCATCATATACCGGGGTGCCTTGACGCAGTACCAGGGGTCGTTGCGAATGACGGCTACGATCATGAAGAAGATCGTGAGGCCGGACACCACCGAGTAAGCGCGCATGAAGCGACGTAGTATGGTGACGCTCCGCCTCTCGCAGTGCTCGTTAAGCGGCTCGGCCTGCGCGGCCACAGAGCGCTCCATCGGCGTGAAGCCGTCCAGGATCTCGCGCACGGCCATGATCTGAGGGACACCGGGGTGCTTCAGGCAGGGGTTGACTGTGGGGATAATGGCTGGGCAGGGGGAATTGGCGGATGATTTCTACGTAGGGGCAAAATTGCGTAAAAGGCCCCGGAATGGTGCAATGAAAGGGAAGCCGGAGGGGTTCGCACTTCCTCACCTGGCCAGTCCTGCTCTCCTTAAGGGACTTTGCTTTCTGTTAAGCTCTCCACAATTACCGTAACGGCGTGCTTCTGTTGTTGGAACATCTTGAAGCCACAGAGACAACAGCCGAGCGCGTCCGCTAAGAAGCCTACGAGCTCTACGTTGTCGTCGTGCTCGCCTAGTGCGAAGTACACCAGCGGCGGAGCGCCCGCTGAGGCGAACGTGTACGGCAGCACGTACGAGAGCGCGCGCGCGAGCGGCCCGCGGCCCTCGGGCCAGGCGCAGACCATCCGCAGGTAGCGCGCCACGACGTCCAGGGCCTGCGCACGCACACGAACTGCGTAAGCGTCACGGTCGGGGCGACGACGGGGCTCACCCCGAGACGAGTGGTGCGCACCGCGGTATGGGCTCGCTGCTCCGGGGCCGCCGGTGGACCCCCCAGGGTGTCGTCGGGGACGGCGGCGACGCGGGGGCTATCGCCACCGCTAGCCCCCCCGGCCATCACGCACGACGAAACAGCTGCGACAGTGCCTTGCTCAGAGTGGCAGTCCTGGTCGTGCGACCAGTGCGTCCCGGGGTTGGGTGGGATTGCCGAGGTGAAAGACGGCGGGGAAGTGTGTGTGTGGGAGGGAGGGGGGGGGCGTGGCACCTGCACAGATAATGCCCAGCTGAATAACGAACGAATGCATTAATAAGTAAAGATTAATAGTAAATGGAGCACGAGGTGATTGGAGGGGATGAGTCCGCTGCCTGCAGGGGAAAACTCTCTAGAAACTTTCGCAATGCTAATTATTTTTCCTCCAAGAAATTTGCCTCCACAAAAATAATGGCAGTTAAAATACCTCTGAGAGCCGCGATCATTTTACCTACAAAATTATTAAAAAAAAATCAAAAAGAATGTGGACCCTACCTACCCTACTTTGAAACGGGGGCCGTCCTTCTTAAAGTCAGAGTTCGGAATGGGTTTTGAGTCTCACCCGACATTGTGGCCCGACCAGGTTTTCCTACTTGTTATCGCTTGCCCGGAAATGAGATGTGGGGCAGGGCACCTAGCGATCCAAACGAAAAGTTTCCGCGTCATGGTATGCGTTCGAAGAGTCAGAGTCATAGGACTTATCATCCACACGGGTTACCAACCACTCCCGCCGTGGCTGGGCTTGGAACTCACACGGCCCGCTCTAGCCGTAGGTAAAACCTTTGTACCAGGAACTCACACGGTCTGCTTCCGCCGTGAGTCGAACCCGATACCCCAGTGCCTGAGTCTCAAGACACCCCTGGTTTCTGAGGAGAGAGAGTTCACCACTAGACTGCACTGGATCGATTGTTCATACACAAGGGTGGCTTGTTGAGCCGACCCCCTACCACTGTGACGACACAGTGACAACACTCCCGGGCCAGTCAGAGTCCAGGAACAAGTCACCGCAGTTCCAAGAGCAAGAAAGCGACCGGCTCCATCCCGTTACCCTTTTTCCGGGGGCGTTCCGAGACTGGGCACTTGGCGTTCCGCGCTAAGGGTAAAGTAAACCACCAATCCGACCGAAGTAATGTGTCAGGGGTATTACATGTGTGTGTGTGTGGGGGGGGGGGAGGGTCCTGTTCACTAATAATTTCTCTGAAACGTTCAGTAGAGTCTAAGGTTAACCCTACGAATTTCCATGTTTCGCATCGCCTTTTCGCATAAGGGAGTCGGACTGTGTAGGCTAGCGAGGCACGATCAACATTCAGCGTTCGGTTTTATTAGAGTTTTTGATATGACCCTAAAGAGTAGAAATCGCGATGGACCTGCCACCGTGTCCGTCCCCTTTGCCAGCAGTGTGCACCACGTCGTCGTCTACCTCACATTGAGGACGGTGGAGTAGAGCGAGTAAGACCGTCGCATGATCTGCGAGAAAAGAGGGTAAGTGAGTCGCAGGTTTTTGCGTTTGGTATACAATGCAGCGAGAAAACAGTTTCGATCAGAACACAAAATTATTGTTCAACAATTTTTGAGCTGTGTTATAAGTAACATAGATGTCTTCAGCTAAATAAAATTTGTTAGATTCCCATGAGTTTTTAATTGCTTGATCCTGTTGTCGGGATTTGAAACTACGTATATACGCCGAGAAACAAAATTGTTCTTAATTTAAACAAAATTTCTTTGTTCCAAAACGAAACGTTTTTCTGTGCACACTACTTAGCCCGTGATTGTTCATGTTAGTCGGTTCTCACGTCCTGGAACAGTTGTAGCGTGAGGTTGGTGAAGCGGCCCGCTGTGAGGAACAGGGGTCTCTGCGCGCGCAGGACGATCATGTGCTGGATGAGTCCCAGCCGCGTATCCTTCCCGGACAGCGACGGGTGGAAGGACGAGTAGGTCGACGAGGACAGCCGTGCCGACTAGGGGCGCGGGTTCAAGTGGGGTCAAATGTCAAAGGTATACGTATCACAATTCTTAGCAGTGACAAATGTTACCCTTCTTACCGCCTTAGCCACGAGGTCGCCGGAATAGCAGAAGGTGAACAGTTGAGTAAATGTCCACACCACGTAGACGGCACTGAAGGCGATGTCCTGCGGTACCACTTCCTGCGTCTGTGGAGCCCAGGCTGACCATTAAATGTTACGTAGCAAGGGCTAAACGGGGGTGGGGTGTAGGGACGAAATCCGGTTTCTCCCTGTTTTTTTCTTGTTTTTTTTCTTTTTTCGGGGTGGGACAACTTACTTTGTTCAGCATGCGAAAGAGTGGGGTACCCAAGCCGAAGAGGGTGTAGAACATCTGGCACAAGGCGACGGTGCAGAAGATGGACTCGGAAGCGCGGTGCAGCCTGCAAGAGTGAGAGCGAGGGGCCACCTCCTTAATTTAAGATGGATACAGGATTACGTGATTAGAGGGATTGCACGTGAATTTTGAGTGATTACAGTCTATATCGTGTGTGCGACCCGAATTCCTAGGACCAGCTGATTCCGGACCGGCCCAAAACCGTTTCAAAACAAATCTTAACGGTAGGCGGGGCACATCACTTTTTAAAAAATCTTTTCTAGCAGTCATTTTTCAGGCAGGATTTCGGATTTCTGGGTTGGTGTGCCTTTATTCGACCTTTAGTCACAATACCACTGTCCTCCGCAAAATTATTCGTGCCTTCTCCCAAATCATCGCGAGAAGAGACTGCGGTAATTGACAGTGTGCCCCGGGGTTGGGGCACTTACTGTCACCATGTCTATATCGGTATATAACTCATACGATACTTGGATTTTCGGAATATTTAGAATGGCAGCTCGAGAAGAATGGTCCAATTGAAGCATACCTCCCCTAAAGATCCAAATTACACTCAAACCGTCCTTACTACAACAACAGATCATAAAATGAGTGACTTTACCTGTCCCAATGTGGAGGCATGTACTGTCAAAAAATCTCTTAATGACCGCTGCCGCCATACCACTTAAAATTTCGCTAACCCTATCTTGCAATCAAAAGAGGGCGTTGAGTGTTTACGATTTCACAATTTAGCCGACTGTTAAGGTGATTGGGCCGGTCTGGAATCAGCAGGTCGTAGAAACGCGGGTCGTACAAACGATATAGACCTGCCATAAAGGCGAGATACGAGTCGACGAAGAAATTGTTTGTTTGTTTTTAGCAGATGATACAAAACCTTTTGACTAAACAAAGTAACTTTAAGGTGTCAGCTTGCTTTTACTCTCGATAAGGACAGAGAACCAAGCGGCGATAACTTTTTTCGGATTCTTTTAGTGAGAGGTCAGGACGGGACTTAGCTGGTGTGGCCCGAAGTGTCGCTCTCCCTTACAGAAGTACACCGGCCGGGGTGCTCCCCGTCCCCGTTCCCCTCACCTGATGATCTGCTGGTGGTAGATCGCGCACAGGCGCAGGCGCTTCCGCTCCTCGTCGCCGTCCTGGAGGCCAATCTCGTCGGCGTCCTGGCGCACCGCCTGCTGCAGCACCAGGGCCAGCACGTCGCACTTGCAAGCCGTGTGGAGGCTCAGCGTGAAAATCATTCCGTCATAGAGACCTGCAAGGCCACGGCGCAGGAAATGTTCAATTGTACTCGAGTATTTGGGCTTCAACCAACCTACAAAAAAAAAATGTCCCCAAATCGTTCTCCTTTGGACTTGAATTGAGCGCAAACGCACACGCTTATCTGAAGGGCGATCGGAGAGCTCCCTGCCTGCGATTTGCCTGCGCCTATTTGTTGACCCGCCCCCCCTCTACATCCTGTTTCAGGTCGTTTCGGAGGCGCAGGCGAATCGCAGGCCGGGGGCTCTCCGATCACCCTCCCGGGTGCGGCAAACCAGCTGCGCTCCACGCATCTACCTATCGCCACTGGGAAGGCGTACAATGCAGTCGTGGCAAGGACCACCATGGCGATGTAGAGTGGTCGCGTCTCCATCATATACCGGGGTGCCTTGACGGAGTACCAGGGGTCGTTGCGGATGACGGCTAGGACCATAAAGACGACGGTGAGGGCGGACAGCACCGAGTAGGCTCGCACGTAGCGTCGCAGTATGGTGACGCTCCGCCTCTCGCAGCGCTCGTTGAGCAGCTCGGCCTGCGCGGCCACAGAGCGCTCCATCGGCGTGAAGCCTTCCAGGATCTCGCGCACGGCCATGATCTGAGGGCCACCGGGGTGCTTCAGGCAGGGGCGATGACTTTCTATGTAGGGGCAAAATGGCGTAAAAGGCCCCGGAATGGTGCAATTCAAGGGAGGCCGAAAGGGGTTTCCAATCTCCCACCTGGCCAGTCCTGCCCTGCTTAAGGGACTTGTCTTCTGGAGAGCACTCCCTAATTACCGTAACGGCGTGCTTCTGTAGTTGGAACATCTTGAAGCAGCACAGGCTGGAGCCGAGGGCGTCCGCCAAGAAGCCTACCAGCTCCACGTTGTCGTCGTGCTCGCCCAGTGCGAAGTACACCAGCTGCGGCACGCCCGACGAGGCGAACGAGTACGGTAGCACGTACGAGAAGGCGCGCGCGAGCTTCCCGCGGCCCTCGGGCCAGGCGCAGACCATCCGCAGGTAGCGCACCACGACGTCCAGGGCCTGCGCACGCACAACAACGTCAAAGACACGGGCGAGGCGACGGGTTCACACCCTCAGCGAGCAGAGTGGTGCGCACCGCGGTGTACGTCCGTTCCGGGGCCGCCGGCGCACCCTCCAGGGTGTCATCGGGGACGCCGACGCGGGCGGTGTCGCTAACCCTTGCCATCACGAAGGACGACACTGTTGCGTCGGGGTCTTGCGCAGAGTGGCAGTCCTGGGAACGCGACCAGTGGTTGGGCGGGTTGCTAAGGTGAAAGGTTCGGGTGGGGGG